CACTATGGTCATTTGTTAGAAGGAGATGGTCCTATAATCTCTTGATCAATGTTACGCTAGGGAATTCTTATTCTTTGAAGTTCGAAGTACTAACCGAAATGCGTTGACATTTCGTGGACTAAATCAACCACCGCAGTCAAAAGTGACTGTGTCTGTGCCAATCGACTTAGTGTATCACTTTCCTCTAGTTTTTGCTTCGCCCAGTGTCGTACGAAGCGAGTGAGAGTCTGATATTTACGTAGTTGAATCACATCGTGTCCGCTGCTTTCGCTAAAGCAACGTTTTGTGGTTAGCTTCCGTGGCATCAAATTCCGTAATAGTTAAATTCTTGTGGCTTTTTCGCTGATTGTTTCGTGCAGAATCTGAAACTGTTAAAAATTAGTAGAAATTTGAATACAGATTCGTGGTTTTCATATAAACGTTCCTCTACGCTGATAAGACAAACGTCGTTCTTTTACGGTTTCAGTCATACGCTCGATTCAGCACCATTTGTGTATTATGTACACATAGGGAATTCAAAAGTGAAGGCTTTTGAGCACTTTCTTTCCAAACAGCTATCTCAGCAGTCTTGCGCATTCTTCTTCATTTCCTATTCTGTGTTTTCAATCATTTTCTCAAACCGTCACATATTTTAAGAGCCGCTTCGGCGACTAGTAACTATGGTCCTCTATGGGAAATTTTTTGTTTGGAGGTGCTAAACCGTAAATACAGCACACGAATGTGCATGGGTTGCGCAGCGATTCAGCTTGTAGCCCAGATTCACGATTTGCATTTTTAGCATTGCCATCAATAAGAGCTCCTATTGATTACAGTCTACGTCTCGAAGTCTGATTAGATGTGTCTATGGATTTGCCCCGACAGCCTCCCTTGATAGAAGAGATGCGCGGATAAGTGCTTCCAGCATGCTTTGCTGATATCCAGCGGAGTATTTTAAAACAGCTTATCCACACGAATTCTATCAAGTGCGCGACGGCCACGTCAAATCCATAGACACACCTAATCAGACTTCGAGATATGGACTGTACAATCACATTTTTCACCTCAGAGACTTGGTCGTTCCCCAGAAATCGTGGCCGCAGCGATTACAAAATTTCCACTTATCACAACCTCTTGAAAATTGTACGTGTTTAATGCAGCTTTACCGCTCTCGTGAATCTTCCAATGTCTGTCCCATGTCTCCTATTTTTCAGATGTCGAATAACTCATACTCATGTATCTCTCGGAGCGGTGAGAGAGTTTCCGGTAATCACTCGTTTGATTCTTTTGTAGTGTAGGGCATCTTAGAGAATATGTCAGTATAGTGAATAAGCTCCAACCAAGATTGATAACAACTTTTATTTGGCTTACGTTTCGGCGCTTTCGCCTTCTTCAGAGCCTGGAAAGAGGAAAGCCATTTACGAAACTACCCGTCCAAATACTATTTCAACCTACAAGAATCGCTCAGCAGGGGTAAACTACTAGGGCGACGTCGTGGGACAGAAAAAGACAACTAACCTTTAGAAAAGTCGACCAATGAGGTCCACCTGCCACCCTGAGCTGACAGTAATGCGGCTTAAATAGGTGAAGCCCCAAGGTCACTTGCTTGAAGGACCCTCCTGAGGGTTGATCATGGAGATCCCTTAAGCAAGTGACCTTGGGGCTTCACCTATTTAAGCCGCATTACTGTCAGCTCAGGGTGGCAGGTGGACCTCATTGGTCGACTTTTCTAAAGGTTAGTTGTCTTTTTCTGTCCCACGACGTCGCCCTAGTAGTTTACCCCTGCTGAGCGATTCTTGTAGGTTGAAATAGTATTTGGACGGGTAGTTTCGTAAATGGCTTTCCTCTTTCCAGGCTCTGAAGAAGGCGAAAGCGCCGAAACGTAAGCCAAATAAAAGTTGTTATCAATCTTGGTTGGAGCTTATTCACTATACTGACATATTCTCTACGACTCATGCCAAGATTCATTGAGAGTCGCACATGGAAACTTTAAAGGTTTTTCCAGCTAACGTCCATGTCGACGCACAAAGTCTGTCTCACCTCTTAATAGTTCTGTTTTCGGCGAGATTAGCCAAAAGCTTACGTTGTACGTATGCAGCTGGCCGCATGTTCCGTGACTGAAGACTGTAAATTAATAGAAAGAACAGTCATAGAACAGCTGATACGCCGCTTCGTTGCTTAAAGAAACCAAGTTTATAAAAAAATAATAAGGTTCGTCTGAGGAAGGAGCGAAACGAACCATTTTAATTATTTCGTTTATAAAGGTTTTTCTTTCTTAATTATAACTCTGGATTTGGATCAATGGCGGTGAGTTCGAAAAGCTCGAGGGTCTATAAAGTTACAAATCATGGGACGTCATAGTGAGTTTGCGGGTTAGCAGGTTTGCACTTGCTGAACGGAAACAAACAAAGAACTATGTACCGAGTGTAAGGTACAACCGCGTTTGCATTATATTCTTGGCTTGTATTGACTTTGCACCCCAGTCCTACACATTTATCTGTTCTCAGTTCATTCAATCCAATTATTTGCAGTGAAGCCTGACAACAACGTGGATGTGAGGAATTGTATGGAAATGACTGGTGATGTTGGGCTCACTTTTGGGCATGCAGAAATGCCTCGTGAAGACAGTATAGAGAAGAAGTATGAAGTGGGTGTCTTGGGACGAAGTTTTCCTTTTTCTGCTAAGTATGGTTTTTTCTGCTTTTTCGTTTGGAAATGAGAAACTGTCTTGTCTGTACATTGTTATGCCTTGCTTTCCAGTACCAGTCCAAAGAAATGAAAGATTTCTTTGCGTTGGAGTGGGACAAACATTGTTATTTCTCAGACGGTAAACGGCAGGTTAGTGAGCAGTTCCATTCGTACCCCTTTCCGTCAGATCAGTTCATGATAGGTAACATATCAGATTGACTACGTACTTGCCTATGAGGAGGACTCTGCTAATGGTTCTGCAAGTAGCGATGCGCCGTCTCCTGCTGAAATTGACCCAGACGAAGATGACGATGTATGGTAGTAGCGTGGTTGTTAGATTTTTATTGTATTTTTCTTAAAATTTGAGACATTATGAAAAGTCACTGACCTGTTTCAGGTGTCTTGTACGGCTTGATGGAACTCACTAGGCAAGGAATGACAAGCAGAAAAATAATTTTTGTTTGTTCAGGACAGAGATAGTCTGCAGTCACCGAGAAGCGCATTAGAGAAGAAGCGAATCAGAAGGTTCAATTACGAGTTGAATCTTCAACGAATGGGTTTGCAAATCGAACGTGTCAGTATTTCACCTACGGTGAGTAATAGATTTTATTTTGCGCCAGTCAAAGAGTGTTTCTTCTTGTGGAACTTCTTCATAAATGTTATGCCAACTGAATCCTATTCAACATATCGCAAGATACTGAACGAGCTCGCCATGCACATTCCAACCATTAGTGTTAGAGAATGGTAAGGGTTTCATCGCACCAGATCTCTTGAAGAGGAAATGCGCCCTAGTTGTGAGAGACAAAGATCTAACGTTGGCGCCCTGCTCTTAGCATATTGGTGTGGAGCCGGAACAGGTTTTATGTGTGCAAGGGAACCTATGAGGGTGCTAATTAGGTTTAGCAATATCCGACAAGGCAGGCCCGATGAAACTTCACTACACTCAAGAACGCTTACGTTTCATGAAAGGCCGCTTCTACTTTCTCATTTTGTCTCCAGTAGATGTAGTTTCTCAATTTCTCTGCATTTATGCTGCAATACTGAAGTGTACTTTGCCAGCCAACCCTGCGACTGATCGGGACCAACGCTAGGGAGAAGAAGAAGAAGTAGAATGAAGTCTGCGCATTGCCTTTGTCAAAGACATTCGATTTCAGAAATCTGCTGACGGTTTTCCATTATTTTGGTGAAAGTTTGCAAATTGTAGCGTGTTTAAGCTTTGTCTGAGCCTGTTCTCTCCTCGTTCGCAAGAGCTCTTTAGCCAATTTCATGACTGTACTTTACGATACTCGTGACTGCCTTGCGTGAATGCTGCATCCTTTTGTGATGTGGTTCCCAGCTGACTTTGCTTCTGCTTTCTTTTTAGAATGGTAATTAGTACCGACAATGGTCGAAAGAACTCTTAAAGTTCTTAACATTGGAAGCAATTTCAAGCATCTTTCTAGTTGTGCCTATTTTTTCAGCTCGGCCGCACGCGATTTGTTCTACTTCATGCGCCATTTGCTGTTCTAGAAAAGCAAGCACAACTCCTTTCTGTGAAGCTTCCGGTGCAACAGAGCGATGTAGTTTTCCAGGTGCGGGCTCAATTGTGACGATATCGTGCATCATGTCCATTTTAAATTCGTGTTATTTGTGGTTTTCTTGCTCTGTAATCATTAAATTTAGGACAGGA